AGTAGCTAATTCTTTCTCGTGTTGTATCACAAACTCCCTGGTACCGGGCGGTAACCTGTGAACCCGATCCCGGTTCAGTCCTTCAAATGGTCTGCGTGGTCTAAAGGACTTGTGCAGCTCATTGGGAGTGCGACAGGTGGACAGATGCACGTTGTTATTGTATGCGCTAGCTACCTTAGGCAGCATCTCGTCCCAGTTGATCTGGTCGGGTCTAATGTACATGCACATAACTTGCTATAGGATCTTGTTCATCTGCTCGGTCTCTGTCTCTTATACACATCTAGATGTGTATAAGAGACAGGTATAGGACGGTCCATCCTCTCCGCCCTTGACTTCTAGAACCGGCCACGGTCCTCTATACGCAGGCAGTAACTTCTGCGAGATGTGCTCCTCAGGTGCAAACTCTTTAGACTTGACCCAGACTAAGTCGCCTACCTGAAACTGCGATGGGCGACGGTGCTTATTAGCCTGTTCTATCATTCTGTGCTGGGCCTTCCTGAGATTTTCAACAATAGTAGCTAATTCTTTCTCGTGTTGTATCACAAACTCCCTGGTACCGGGCGGTAACCTGTGAACCCGATCCCGGTTCAGTCCTTCAAATGGTCTGCGTGGTCTAAAGGACTTGTGCAGCTCATTGGGAGTGCGACAGGTGGACAGATGCACGTTGTTATTGTATGCGCTAGCTACCTTAGGCAGCATCTCGTCCCAGTTGATCTGGTCGGGTCTAATGTACATGCACATAACTTGCTATAGGATCTTGTTCATCTGCTCGGTCTGACCGTTGATCTCTGGGTGGCGGCCAGACGACATCAACAACTTATCCGTAAACTCCCATGAGTTCTTGCCAGTTCTGGCTGGTGAAGCGACTATCTCTATCGCTAACTATTGACAACGGGACTCCATTCTCACTAACCCAAAAATCAAAGAACTTTCGTATAACTAAATTTGTACGTGCCTCTGCAGGCAAGGGAACAAAAACAACATACTTGCTAAATCGGTCAACTATGACCATGACTTGGCTCTGGCCGTGTCTACTCTTGACACCGGCATCCATAAAATCAATGGAGACTGGGTCTCCCGGCTGGTCTGGGATAGGCAAGGGTCTGAGAAGCCCTAGAGGGGCACGCGTAGTGGTCTTGTTTCTCTGGCAAACTTTGCAACTGCGAACATACTCTATGCAGTCAGCTTTCATTCCGGGCCAGGTATATGCATGCATCAGATTGGCTAAAGTCTTCTGCCAACCGAAGTGTCCCTTTGTGTCGTGGCATTCCCCTAAGATCAAACTACGGATCTCTTCACTGTTGGGAATGCACAGGCAGTCTTCTACATTAGTCTTCTCAAACAATAGTCCTTCAGTAGTGTCGTAGTTTGGTTCGGTCTCTGGGGCCTTCTTAACTCTCTTGAGGAGATCACTATAGATAGGATCTTACGCATACGCCTGTGGGACTTTCTCTTGCAAGTCCTTTCCTATGTCCAGATAGTGCACTACGGCTCCAAAGTAGTCTGATCTCCTACTAAGAGCATCCGCAACTACATTTTACTTGCCTTTGACCGGTTTGAGCTCAAAGTCATATTGGTCTATCTCAGCGGCCCACCTAGTTAACTTAGGTGTCATCTTGGCCTGGGTCCTTAACCATCTAAGCGTCTCATGGTCAGAATATACTTTGAAGTGCCTCCCAAGCAGATAATGCTTCCAGTGCTCTAAAGCCTGCCTGAAAGCGTAGAGTTCTCTCTCGTACGTCGAGGTAGCTACCTTCTCTGAGGGCATCCCCGCTGACATGAACTCTACGGGTTTGTAGCCATTGTCGTCGTCTTGTTGCAACACGGCGCCTGTACCATACTGACTCGCATTCATGGTGACGACAAATGGCAAGGACGGATCAGCTACTTTGAGGACAGGGTATTCTATTAGCGCGCACTTCAGTCTCTTTAGCACAGATGTACAATCTTTGTCCCATTGCCAGATTGCCTCTTTCTTAAACCACCAGTACCTCGCCCTGCTATTTTTCTCCGACGCGGCCGTTAACGCGCCGCGTCGGACGGGGGTCGGGCACTGAACGACCGGTACCAAGAAGGAAAAAAAAGTCGAGAAAAAAAATAAAAACAAAAAAAAAGTAGAAAGTGCAAAAAAAAAGAAGAGAATGTAAACGAACGGGAAAAAACGGGTGCCGCGTGGAGGGTGGGGGAAGAGAGAGAGAGAGAGAGAGAGAGAGAGAGAGAGAGAGAGAGAGAGAGAGAGAGAGGGCGCGTTGTGGGGAGTGCCGCGTCAAAAACGTCGGCCCTCTCTCTCTCTCTCTTTCCCCCCCACCTCGACACCACTGCGGAGCTCATATGTGCAAAACGGGAACAAATCTTCCCGCATTTGCGGGAAGATTCATTCCCGTTTTGGACACATGAACTGCACCGTGCCTCGAAGAGTGTGTGTCTGTGTGTGTGTGTGTGTGTGAGAGAGAGAGACAGAGAGCTTTAGAAAACGGGAATGAATCTTCCCGGAAGGGCGGGAAGATTCATTCCCTTTTTGCAATCGAGAGCTGCAGCGGGGGAACGAGAGAGAGAGAGAGAGAGAGAGAGAGAGAGAGAGAGAGAGAGAGAGAGAGAGAGAGAGAGAGAGAG